AGCATTCTGATATGGTGTCCGCTATCGGGGGGGCGATGGGAACCATATGCTCGCCGGGAACTGAAGCGCGGTTAGGGGTTGGATGTGCGAGTTCTGGGCAGGGCCATCATCATTATCATCACCAGCAGCATCAGCATCATGGCCATACTCGTGATCATCATCGTCAAGATCAGCATGTTTAGCACCGCCATCGCCTTCACCATCAGTATGACCACCACCATCATCATCATCATCATCATCACATCACCATCAGCATCATCATCATCATGAACAGCATCATCACCGTCGTCGCCATAGCTCACAATACGCACCCCCGCATGGTGGCCCCCTGGACGGCGGCAGGGGGGAGGAGGGAGGAGGAATGGGAAGGATGATGAGGAGCATGAGGAGGAGGAGGATGAGCAGGAGAAGGACGATGAGGATGACGGGGGAAGGAGCAGGAGGACGATGAGGAGGAGGGACATAGAGGAGGGGGGTGAGAAGGAGGGAGCAGCCAGAGGTGGGCTTGGCCTTGGCCTTAGCTGCCGCCTCGGCCGCGGCCTAGGCGGGACGAGGGAGGCGGAGGGGTAGTAGGCGGAGGAGGAGGATGAGGAGGCGGAGGAGGAGCAGGATAAGGGGTTGCAAATGAGGAGGATAATCAGGACTATGATGATGAAATTGAAGATGAGGATGACGATGATGAGGACGACGATGAGCATGATGAGGGGGATGCAGCTGAGGAGGAGAAGAATGGTGATAAGGTGGAGTAGGATGAAGAGGATGGGGAGGACGAGGCTGCGGAGTAGGAGGAGGAACATGAGAATGAGGATGAGTTTTTTGGGGGGTCTTGAGCGCCTCTTGAGGGCCTCTGGGGACTTCGGGGCTTTACCTTTTTTTCAATCGCGCCGAGTCGGCGAAGGGTCGGCCGTCGGGTTCAGGCCGTCGGGGCTCGTATCGGGTAGGCCGTCGGGTTCAGGACGCCGGGGTAGGCCGTCGAGTACGCCGAGCGGATGGCCGTCGGGTAGGCCGTCGGGTAGGCCGAGCTGATGGCCGCCAGGCCTACTTCGGGTCCCCCGCGCCCTTGTCGACCTCCAGCCAGCTGGAAGCCGAGCCGCCTGCAGGATCTTCCTGCGCAGACGCCAGTGGCGAGACGGGGATCTTGATGTCCGAGCTGCCAGCGCTGGTCGAGTGCTCCATGACGTGGCACATCTTGTAGCCACTCTGCCAGCCGTCGTCGTAGCCGCTCTTGTAGCCGCACTCCCACCTGTCGTCGTAGTTGTAGGCCTTCGTGTAGTTGTCGGCCTTCGCGTAGTTGTCCTTATCGTACTCGTGCTGGCGCTCGTTCACCTCGAAGTCGCACTCGCGCAGGCCGCTCTCGAGGCCCGCGTCGACGTAGAGGCCCCACTTCTCGTTCACGAACCACTCCTGGTCCAACTCGCCGTCCCAGGTCTTCGGGGGCCTGTTCGTCAGCTCGCATCGGCACAGCTTCGCCTGGGTCTCGGGGACGTTGTTGCCCAGGATGTCCTGGATGAGCTCAGCCTTGCAGCCCTTGAGCTTAGGGAACTGCGGCCACGGGTCGTCGCCCGAGATCGGCACGTAGAGCGGCACCCACATGTCAAGGTGCGACAAGTAGAACCAGCACTTCATCTTCGTCTCCCTGTTGATCATAAGGTAGTGCACGCCGTGGTGCGGGCCAGTCGCCATCGGGTTCAGCGTCGGGTTGGGCGTCGGGATGGCCGTCGGGTTCGGCGTCGGGTTGGCCGTCGGCGACGGCGCGGGCGGTGGCGCCCGAAAACTTGAGCCAGAATGTCTGTATACCGCGTGGGAGCCTCTTGGGGGCCTCTTGGGCAGTCTTAGGCCATCTTGGGGCCATCTTGAGCCGTCTTGGAGGCTTCGTGGACGAACTTGAAGGCATCTTGGACTCTCTCGCGGGCCATCTTGGGCCCCATCTTGGACTATCTTGGGTGGGCCCGGAGGCCATCTTGGAGGCCATCTTGGGCCAACGTAGCCATCTTGGAGGCCATCTTGAGCCGCAGGATCGCGACCCTCTGTTGCGGGCCGAGCGCCACGACGGGCCAGAACGCGCCAGGGGGGGCATCGCTATAGTCTGAGCCCGAGCCATCCCCGACCCCCACCCCGCCCTCGCCACCCGCACGCCCCCCCCAAAAGCAACTCCTTCAACGTTGAAACACAAAACATCCAGAAACCTTCTAAATTGCCAAGCATACTTATCCAGGAGTTTTCTAAATCTCAAGATCTCCTCGGGAGAAACCCGTGACCCATCCTAGCGGTGGCCCCCCTTGGCATTCTTCGCAGCGCGCCCCCCCCTTTCGGGGCCGCTGCTCGGGCACGAAACCGTTGGAAGATGTTGCAGCGATGAGGGCGCATGGGCGGGGCGGGGGGGAGGTGGGGGGGATGGGGGGGGGGGGGGGGAGACGGAAACCACACCGAACGTGTTTAACACGTTCCCCATACCACCCAATTATGGGGTCGGGGGCGGGGAGGAGAATGCGGAGGCTGAGGGGAGGGGGGGAGGAGGAGGAATAGGAGAAGAGGGAGGAGAAACTAAACACAGGGATGGGAACGAAGCTGGAAACGGACGCGCGCGCGCGCGTGGGCGGGGGCGGAGGCGGAGGGCCGACGAAAGGAGGGAAGTGTTTGCCCGCCCCCGCGAACGTTCAGAGGGGGGGCAATCCGCTGCCGGAAGCGCTGGCCTTCGCGGCCTCCGCCTCACTCTGCGCCTTGGTAGCGCGGGCCTCGGCTGCCTCCGCCTCGCGCTTCGCCTTGGAAAACTTCACGGTGAGGCGAATCGTCTCGGCGCGCTCCTGGGGCCATCTATTTTCTCTTGCACCCTACCTCCGCCCCCCCTCCTCTGTAATCCGTCTTCTCCCCAGGGCCTCCAGTCCTATGCCCGCCATCCCTCATTGTTTCGTTTGCTCCATTCCACCTCCTTCTCCCCCCCTCCTCATCCTTCTGTTTATCCCCCCTTCCTTCTCCCCCCCCTTATCCTCCTCCACCCCTCCCCCCCCTCCTCATGCTTCCGCGCATCCCCCCCTCCCTCCCTCTTACGACGCCCTTCCAATGGATTCCGCTCCTTCAACTCGACTGGGATCACCACGTGGATGTTGCCCGACATGACCATCGTGATCGCGGGGCTCTCCTAACAATTGCGAGTACAAGGATGAGCGCTACATGGGGGAAGGATCAGGGAGGCATTGGGGGGTGCGTGTGTGCGTGCGTGTGCGTGTGCGTGTGCGTGTGTGTGCGTGTGTGTGCGTGTGTGTGTGCGTGTGCGTGTGCGTGTGCGTGTGTGTGCGTGTGTGTGCGTGTGTGTGTGCGTGTGCGCGGGGTGGGTGGGGCGGGGCGGGGGGGCGGCGGGGGATTGCGTTATGAGGGGGGTGCGAGGAGAGGGGTGGGATAGGGATAGGGAGGGACAGAGAGAGAGATGGGGAGGGAAGGGAGGAGAGCGAGGCGTGGACGGGATACATAACATCCACATAGAGGAGGCAAACGAGGGTCTCCTGCACTGGCGACTGCATGGGGTCTCCGCCGCACACGTCCTTGATGTCGGCCCCGCTCGTGCACAGGGTGTCTGGGGAGGCATTGGGGGGGGGGGGGGCGGAGAGAGAATGCGAAGGAGAAGGAGGATAAGGGAAGGATTAGACGAAAGAGGAGGAGGATAAGGAGGCGGGCCTTCGTCGACGGTCACCTCCGTCACGGGAACGTGCTCGGTGTTCGTGGGCGGCGGGCCCTGGGACGCCTCCGCCTTCAGGAACTTCTCGGGCGGAGGGCCGTCGGGCGGTCTCGGGAGCTTCGGCGGAGGGGCCTTGGGGGGTCTCGCCTTCTGGGGGATCGGCGTCTGCTCGGCCTGCTCGGGCGCCTTCCCTTGCTCGGTCTGCTGGGGCGCCACCTTCTTCTCGGCCTCCCCCTGGGGCTCAACCTTGCCCTCGGCCTTGTCCTCGGCCGTTGCGACGTCCATTCGGGACATCTTGGGGCGGAGCATGTTCTCGGGGGGCAGCGCAGGGGGCGCCGTCGCTGGTGCTGGCGTCGGGATCGGCGCCGGGCCGGGCACC